ATTTATTTTTAAAACTTTCAAAGCTCAATATTATAGAAAATAATTAATTTAATTTTTAAATAATATTATGTATAAAAATAACTTATCATATCACATTTTTAATTAATAACTTTTGTATTTTTTATTTATTTAAAAAATAAAAATTTATTTTTAAAACTTTCAAAGCTCAATATTATAGAAAATAATTAATTAATTTTTAAATAATATTATGTATAAAAATAACCTATCGTATCATATTTTTAATATTAAATATATAATTAATATTAGCATTCACATGAGAGATGATATAAAATGATTGTCTAATATTTTAGGTGAAGGACTAGAACAAAAAATAAAGAAAAAAGATTGGGGAAATCAAAATGGTATTATCGTAAATAAACTGCAATCCAAGCCCAGTTGTGAAATCCCATTGACACATCCAGTACCTGTACGATATTTAAATATGACAGTGAGTGATTTCAGATCCGTGAATACTGGTCCAAACCCTAATAGGGGCTCAATTTCCATACCGATTGGATCCTAGAAAATCACCCCAAAATTCTTTTCCCCCTACACAAAATCCAGATCTCAAGAAGAAGTAGATCAGCGTTTTGATTCTCTCTCACCTAACGGGTCTAGACGGACCTTTCTTTCCCCCAGATCTCCATCACCGCGTCAGTTTCAGTGCTTTCTTGCACTAACAGGTAATTTTCTCTCTCGATTTTCAGGGAAAATTGGACTGAAAATGAAAATTTTTATTTTTTATGCCTTTGGATGGTGTTTTATCTTTCATTTTCTCTTTTGTGCATGTCATTTCCGAACATTTCTGCAAAAAAAAAAAAAAAAAAAAAAAAAAACGAAGTGCTTATTCATTTGTTTTCTGTCTGGGTTTTCTTGTACAGCTTTTTGAACTTTTTTGACGACGTAATATTTTGTCTCCGAGTTGGTGGCTGAATCGACAGTGTTTAAAATACTTTTGGTCGTCGATGTTTGATTTGGTTCTGTGGTGGAGAAGATCTAGAAATCTTTGTGATTTTCGGTAGCAATAAGCCATGAATTTCTGATTTTTAGCATGTTTTGAGGCTTGAGACTGAGTTCTAGAACTGGATCTATCGAGTCAAGTTTAGAGAGAAAAAAAATCGAAAGTAGCGTAGTTGAAAGACTGAGGATTGTGAATTTAACGATCTTGTTATGGAGACGCTTATGGTAGTGGCTGAGCACAGGAATCAGTATTGCAGTCGGGTTAAGTCACAAGGGCCCGGGCGATTTTGGTCGTCGCCGTCGAGAGACTTTCAAGGGATCAATTGCCGGAGTTTCCAATCCGCGGCGGGGATACTGCCATCCCCATTGAAGGCTGACACTACTCCTGTATCCAAACGGGCATGTTCTTCTCCCAAAACACCTTCACCATGTGTTGGTTCTGCCTCTGAGAGCAAAACACTGAGCAGAACAACTGCAAAAAGCGCTCCCATTGCTATCGATTTCAAAGGTCCTAACAGGAGGAAGTATTTCAGTGATGAGGTCTGTGATGAGGGTTTGTCGTTTTCTGAGCTCTGGGCTGGACCTGCCTACTCAAACTCACCACCCCCGAGTTCTTTGCCGATTCCAAAATTTTCAGTCCGACCAAAAAGAACTGTGTCACTTGAGTTGCCTGGTTTGGGTCCTGATGTTGAAATGCACCCAATTGCTAAGTCAGCACCTGCATCCCCAACTAGAGGGCATAGCCCTTTTACAAAAGATATTTTCCAGAGTGCCGACTCCGCGACTGAGACACTGCGTCGCATTCTCAATCTCGACATTTGTGATGACTGAAGGGATGGGGGCAACAGGCTCCTGTAAATAAGTTTTCTAGGTCAGCTTTAGGTTGTATACAGTATATAGAGGGAATAAATCAATCTTTAGTGTGTCATTTCTTGAGTTATTTAGCTTTAAGTAGTCGTGCTAGAAGAAAATGGCTGTGGTTCTGGTGGTCAACGATCTCAGGAGTTGTACCTGGAATCGGGGGATGTGGGGTTGGTCTGAGGCGGTGGTTGTTTGTTTGACAAGATGGGCTTGGTATGTGTAAAGGAAATTTGCAATGTGGATAGATGTGACCCAAAAACTTATTGAAGCGGAGGAGGTACTGTAGAAAGGATGATGCTGCTGAAGTGAATGGTTGGCATTCTAGCAAGGATGGAACAACCTGACTTTTTCTATCTATTGAAGCTGAAGGAAACCTTCTTCTAATTGAACCTTGAACTTTACCATATTAACACCTTAATATTCTCTCTGAAACATTGGTTAGTTTCACTGACATGTTTTAGATAAAGTTCTAGGATTTTAGTTCCAGTCACTATGTATATTCTTTAAATTGATGCATCCTCTGCTAATTACACACAAAACTCTGTAGGTTTCTTTTCCTCTCTTGTACCTAATTCCGTTCCTTTTTTTCAAATTTGGCCTTTTTCTTATAAATATCCTGACCTTGCTTACTGCTTAGTCTTTTTTTTTTTCCTTCTTCTTCTAGATAATCCGTTTTTATTTTGCTCTTTTGCTTCTCTGTCTTGCCTGAATTGGCGTTTCCTGATCAACCTTCAATACTCGACTTGATTTTCTTCTCTTTATTTCCCAACAATCTGACTCCCGTTTGCTTCATTCTTCGAGGGTGTCTTTCCCGTTCACCATCTTTTCTGGTTTTTGAGAAAGAAAAGTGGGAACGGATTAATGTTTGCTTCTTCTGCTTCCTCAGTTTGTATGGTCAATCCATGTTTTTCTTTATCCTCTTTGTTCATTTAGGAGCCCCTATTTCTTGTCTATGCAAAGTAGGTAACACTACTTTCCTCATATTCCTCGTAAGGGCATACTATTGTATGGAGATCGTTGACTGTACCGAGCCATTTACAAGGTAATACCATATTTTTATTTTGTTTATTAAAATTCCATATCATTATTATATGATCTTGTATTGCATGATTCGTTGGGTGCTGATTTCTTCTCGTTAGTAATGAAACAGGGTGCCAGGAAGAAGTCCTTGAGGAGGCTGCGTTTCATAGGACATGTTCAAAGCGGTTTCATACTGTAATTCCTGGGAGGAGCCAAGTTCTTTTCCCGTGTGCCGTCACTTGCGCTTGAGCATGTATCTATGTATTGCTGTTTTGTTGGTGTACCTGGTGTTCAATCGATCTAGCAGAGTTAGTTTAGTAGAGTCAATTGTTTATCAAGAATTAGTATGAACTCTTTTAGAAGTAAAGACTGTCGTCTCTTAGATCTGAACCTTGATTATAGATTTGGTACTTCTAGTATTAGTCTCGATGTTTTCAGCTTTACTACTAATATAATGTTGTCGTTGTTTCCCTTAAATGGCCCTTGTTGTCAATCATGGCGGCATTACCTATGTTAGACCTTTTTTTCTTTTCCTTTGTGTCATTGCGTGCTGAAGATAGCAAAGGGTTGATTGTTAAGTAATGATGATTTTTGAGTACTGTTGCAAAACCTTTCCATAACCGGACTTGAAAAACCGAAAATTGTTTTTAGGTGGATTTTAATTTCACGGATGGTTCTCAAATTTTATAACAATTTTATTTTGGCTCCGATTTTTAAAGCATTTCAAGAATATGCTCTCCGCTCTCAATTTATTCCTCGATTTTTTAATCTTTCTAGACTTGATCTTTCAATTTGGATCGGTTAAAAGCCTATTGGATGTTAAAAATTGTAAAGAATTAGGTCTCGTTCATGTACGGATTTGAGTTTTTAATTCAAGTTGAGACGTGATATTTTATAAGAATTTTTAATTGTAACAGAAAAAGTTAGATATGACATTTTTTAAAATTTTTAACTGTAAAAATTTAAAATTAAAAATTTAAATCAGTAAAATGAAGAAACGAGTAGTGTTTTTCCGTTAACATTACATGTATATTATGTGTATTATTATTGGATTATTATTTTGCATCAGAATCACATGTACGTTATGCCTTTGTTTTAACACCTAGTTGGCGAAAGGACAAACTAATTGCCGAAAATTAGAAAAGGCTAAAACTAATTACTGAAAATTAGGACGTTTCAAAATTGAACAGTTAAAATTGGATTGGGGTTAAGTTTAGAGATCGTTGTTTTTTTTTTTTTTTTTTTTTTTTTGGGGGGGAGGAAGGCTATATGGTACACAGGGTTGGAACTTTGATTCTCCAAGTTCTGGGAAAAGAGTGAATTCCACGTTCTGTGGTCTAGTACCTAATTGCTTATACATCTTCCTTTATTGACAAACACTGCGAAGATGCTGATTAAAGAAAAGCAACAATTATAGACAGACTTGTCATCGTCATGGTTTGTTTGGTTGTCTCGTGTCACTCGTGCTCAAGTACTCATCAAAGCATCTTATAGGTCCATCCATACTTTTTATCCTTCTTTATCACGCGCATTGGGGCCTTTATTTATGCCTTTTTCTAATTCTGTTCCTTTGGAAGACAAGAATGGAAATCGAAAGGGTAACGATGTGTTGCGGATAACATTTTGTAATGGAGCCTTGTGCGGAACAAGACGTGTTCTTGTTTTGGCCGTAACAGATGAATACTGGGTTATTTGAGTGAGAGATTTCTTTGTCTGTGTGCTAAAGAATTACTTGACTGGCAAGTACTTTTGAACTGATAAAATTTGTTGCGTTTGCATATTCTCATTTCGTTTGTCTTGTAAATTATAAGGTTAACACTTTCACTCCACTTTTTTAATATAGTTGTAAAAAAAAAAAAAAAAAAAAATGGCTTGCGAGCACCAACACTGATAGAAGATAGGTCCGATTGTATTTGTTCAAAATAATGAGCGCGAAAGTAGAGCGTGAAACATGTTGTTTCTCTAGTCTGAAAGCAACAACATGTTTCTAAGTGAAATGTGGAATGCCTTCAGAGCATATATTCCCACAAAAGCTTCTGTTCTATGAAGCCAAAGTTCCGTATCTTTTTTATTTGGTAGCAAAATGGCATCCATAATATGCGCACTGACACCTCTCACTTTCACTCTCACATGGCGTAAAGAGGAAGAAAGGCAAGAAATTAAGCTTTTTCCAGTTGCCACAGAGATAAATCATTTATTGAAAGTTGGAATATGTGGGTGTCGTTTCAATTAGTAACCCTCAGAAACAAGCTCTGAATTCATGTTTGTTGTATAACTCGCATTGGGTTTTAGATTTGGTGCCACAAAAGCTATTCCTTTACTGTCACAGTTAGATCCGTGATCTGTGATCTTTTTTTTATTAGTAGACTGACATCAAATCGTTTTGTTTGCTGTGGGAATAATAAATAAAAAGTTCTCCATTTGTTGGTCGACGCATGAAACTCTTTTTGTTTAGTTGTTTCTTTTTTTTTTTTTTTTTCTTTTCTTCATACGGCTCAGTTTAAATTGACTTTTGGGATAAAAAGGGATAAAGAAGAGTAACTGAAACCCGGAAACTGAAAAGAGATTTCGTATTCGAATGAAATGCCAAATTGTCGTATATTTCCAATTGGGTTTTTTTTTTTTTTTTTTTTTTTTTTAATCCGAGTATATTTCCAACTGGTTGACCTTAGTTGATCATGACCCCCAATAGAAATATATTTCCATTTTTTTTTTTTTTTTTGCTTGTTTTTCAATCTTTTCATTGGCAAATAAACATTGAAAGATAAAAAGATGGGGGTTTGCCGTAGGTTTTGACAATCCAACTTATTTCAACTGGTCATGTAGCATTGATTGGAGTAGAGTAGGTGTCGTTCTTATCTGATTCAAAAAGGATCAATTCAACGTCAGCTTTTGTATAAGATAATGCATATATTTTCGTAAAACTATACATTATAATAATAGGATAAATTTACAGTATTTCATATTTTGGTAAGCCAAATAATTGAACCACCATGGATCCAAAGACCTCAAGAGGATGACCATTCTCGTTAATAGCTATTTTAATAGCCAAACTCACTTATAGGTTGTTTAGTTGGGGGATTCATACCCCGATTTGAATCATGTTTCATAGTTCGTTACAGTGTTTTCTCTCATAAAAAATACACGTAAATAAAAAATAATCTAATTTTATGATTCTAATTCATGAACAAAACATCTCCTTATTTGCTTTTAGAATATAATAACTTATTTGCAATAAAACAATGGCAACTTGGTCCATTTCCTTGCACAATGACTCTGTCAACACGAGAATTAGGGAGGGTCTATGGTCTACCTAATTACGCACTTAAAAAAAAAAAAGCCTCTTTAGAAGGAATCCGCATAACAAACGTTCAAACTGATATGAAAATGTATTAAATATATGGTTTTAGCTCTACAAAACCCATATAGAATTATTTCAAGTCATCAAAACTTTGTCTGGATGTGTATGTGTCAATTTTTTTTTAATCAATCTGCCGCCGTATAATAATAAATGATTCTTTTTCATTTTTTTTTTCTTCTGGAGATATTACGGTATACGTTTGCGAATGCGGACAAAATAGCCATGAGCGGAAAGGATAAGCCACACAAGAGAGAGAAACACATCTGCATGGACAAAAAATTATTGACCCTTTACTCAACTGTGTTAATATATTATTAAGATAGAAAAATCTGCATAGTCCCACACATTATTGCAAGGTGAACGTAAAGCTTCAATACCCAGATAGGAAAAAAAAAAAAAAAAGGGAAAAAACAATAGCGGTGTTCCTTTAACACAAATTTGTGAATGTTGGTTTGATTGTTTTTTTTTTATTATTGCTAATATATATAATGTCCGTTTAGTTCGCTGATTCGAGTTTTTAATTCGAATTGAAATGTAATTTAAAATCCAAAAACTGAGGCAAAAAGGTCCAGAAGAAATCAAGTTATTTAACTTTGAACAAACAAAACAAAACAAACTCTACAGCATCTCATCCTCTCTTTATCTCTATCTGCAAGTGGAGAGGGTAACTAATCATAACTAGCTAAGAGGCAAAAGACGAGCTAGAGCAAAACTTTTCAAAAAAGGGACGACAACAAAAAAAAAAAGATAAAAAATACTAATCTAAACAGCTTTTATTCCCTAAAATCAATTATCATCATGAAGTGATCTCATTGAGCAAGAATTTGAAGCACCATGGTGTATTATAGTACTCTTCAGAACTCTGCATTTCCCACCTCATCCAAGAGCATTTCTTGGTAACGACATTCACGGCTACAAAACGCCTTCTCACCTCTTGTAAAACAAAAAAAAAAAAGAATAAAAAGATTAGAATGTGGCATAAGTAATTAATATAGTATAAAACGTTACAACATAAAAATTATTATTATTTTTTTTTTTTTTGGGGAACCATACCTGTAAATGTAAATATCAATCTTCTGCTCAAGATTCTTGTTGCAAGTGTGACAGAAGCTGAGGAAATTCTTGGAGCAAGATTTGGGTTTGTTAATATAAACACTATTATGATCATGATCATCGGATAAACAACAGTAACTCTCCACAATGCAATTGTCAAATATGTGAGTTGTCCTTGGAACTGGTCCGTGAGAGATGACGCAAGTGTAGTCCTCGGAATGCTCAACGTCGCTGACAGAAATCCACCCCGTGATTGATCTTGGAGAAATATCCTTTGTTTGGCCACAGGAATTGGCTGACCCGCATGCGGATATGTGGGAATTCCTTGTCTTGATTCCGAACTCAGCTGGGGATTTTGGAGACTGATCATGGTCATATTGATCGCTTGACAAAGTTGGGATTTGAACTCTCAGCTTATTTCCCAACACAACTTTCCTGTTACAAGGCTTGGAAAATTTCTTTCCATTAATGTTATTTTTCTGATCATCAAATGGGTCAATTAGAACAAGACCTATGCCTTTGGTACTCCCTGGGGATTTGTCCCAAGGGCGTTTGTTTCCCGGGAAAACTTTGGGGGACATGGCTTGTTTCTTTGTGTGTGAAAATGGGCTTGTGAGAGAAAAGAAAGTCTTGGTGTCTAGAACTGAAGTTGGGCTCACTAAATCATCATTCTCAGAGAAACCCTTTTTGGTAAAAGCCTTGAACCTTGGGGAAACAAAGAAAGATATTGGAGTTCTTTTGTTGTTGTAGTTTTGGGTGTGAGAAGGTTGAGAGCTGTGATCAGCCATTAAAGCTTGCTTGCTGGTCACTGCTCTAGATCTATTCCTTAGCATAATAGACTCTTGGTGTAAAATACTTCAAGGCCTGCCAAACAAAGAGATACAAAAAAAAAAAAACAAAAGTTAAAAACATTGAAAACTCAATGAAGAAGAGAGAGATTTTCTGAGAATTATTGTAATTACCGTAAATAAATATAGGAGGGGATGTTACTCAGAAATCGCTATGGATTGTTATGAGTGAGGTGTTAAAATCAAGAGTGGGGAAAAAAGGGATTTGTGTATTTTGAATCTAAGATTTTTTTTTTGTTGGGTTTGGGCTAAATCTCCGTGGCTTCCATGACTGTGGACATTAAAGAAAATAGCAAAACAATAAAGGGTTTTCTTCTCAGGAAGTGTTGTTTTCTTAGAACTAGAAAAGACTAAACTCCAATCATAACAGCCCGCATGCAAGCCATGTGATCAAGAGCAGAGACGTGAGAACGCCCTGCCATTTTTACAGCAAAACCAAGTCGTCTCTATGTGCTCTTGGTTGTCTCGTTGCAGAATTGGCATGAATTGCTTTGCTAATTCCCATGAGCAATAGCCATCATTACTACCGAGTAAATGAAATGAAAAGAAGAAAAATTTGAACTTTTTTTTTTTTTTTTTTTTTCTCTTTCTTTGATTTCCTTTTTTGGCTCTTTCTCTAAGCTTCACTTTCTGTTAGTGGGATTTTCATTTCATCCACGCCAATCAAGTCGCACTCTGTCAATTCCTCTTTATTCAGTTCCAGTCCTGCAAAATGGCCTCGAATTGGCAACTTGGAAAAGAGAGAAAGTGAGAGAGAGAGAGAGAAGAAAAAGAAAAAGGCTCTAAACTTTAAAGGGAAGAGCTTTGTTTTTAGTCCGAGCGGTGCGCGTCTTTTAAAGAGAGGAGAAAAGATGGCCCTGTGCTGTGCAGTGCTGTGTCCGAGTGTGGCCAGTTTTTGATAATATCACGAAACACGATCCGAAGTCTCGTTCGTTTTACTGATTTAAGTTTAGAATTTAAATTTTGTTACAGTAAAAAATTCTTATAAACAGTTACATCTAATTTTTTTACTACAGTAACAAGCTTTCACATAAAATCACATCTCAACTCAAATTCTAAACTTGAATCAGCAAAACGAACGAGCAAACACAAATTCCTATTTTCCTTTTTTCTTTTCTCTTTTTTTTTCTGATAAAATTTAATTATTTAAAACATTTTACGATTAGTTATCTCTCCACAGTTCACTCCGGTTAGCATTTGTTTGTGAAGGCCAAGTATATGAAAAATTTCGCGGAAATGATTAACACAGAAAAAGATAAATACGTGGATTACTGGTTAATGATCGATCACTAATTCATCAATGATTTTATTACTTATAGTAGGACCTAGCATTTACTAATGATTTATTGCTGATGAGTTAATTGCTAATTAATATCAATCGAACAGTAAAGACTATCAAATCAATTAGTGATACACTATCAAATTAATCAATTACAGATTATGAGTCGATCCATCACTAATTAAATATTTTTACAATTAATCTTTTTAATCTTACAAAACCTGTTACTTTCTATAAAAAAAAAAAAAAACTTATAACGTCATTTACTTTAAACCTAAAGTATACGGCATTGATAAAATTCTTTGTTATTACTTTTATTTTTTAAAATTCTCTCTCTCTCTCTCTTTATTGAACCGATTAATTGTTGTCGTTTTTTGCGAAGTGGTCTAACTCTTCCGTCTATCTATCTAATGCTTAGTTTTGTCGCGGAGTATCACATCACATATGAAATTGTTCACCTGTGACAGTCATGAATGCGAAAATAAACGCACGCAATTATAGGGCCAAAAAAAAAAAAAAAAAAAAAAAGAAGTTTGCTGAGATCATCCTGCGTTTTCTTTCTTTCAATTTAATGTTGTTCTGCTTTCCCCATCTCGGCGTGCTCACTCCATAAATATAAATTTTTTACAGAGGATTTTTTATTTCTTAATTTTGTTTTTGATATTTTTGGGGATTTGAATCTTTTGCCTCAATTTTATATACAAATATACTTTCCACGTGAACAGCAATATTTATAGGATCTAATGTTAGTAAACTTGAACATTGTGCACTATTGTTTTTAAATAGAAATAATCTTCATAGCTTTTAAAGTTATATGGATCATAATTTTTATTTTTTAGATTCATAACTTTTTTAGTTAAATAACTACACTAGTAAAAAGAGAATTTATCAAAAATAAAAAATAAATGTCTATACTCATAGATTCTTAAAAATAAATTTTACATTTTTACTTTAAAATAACAGTGTGAGTAGAGCCGATAATATAGGTCACGATACTGTGTGAGCCCCCGTTATTGTTAAAATGAGTTTTTTTTTTATCAGAAAGAAAAAATTATCTTAACCCATTGTGCACTTTAGGGAAAAAAAAATTATTACTACAATTTTGAAACTCTCCCAAGCCTAGGTTTAGATTTCAGTAATGTTATGCTTTGAATGAGAAGAGAAAATTCACGTTCTTCTTGAGATATAACGCGATCGGCAAAAGATTTTATGAGCATTTCTTTTGGCGTAGCTTAACATGCAGCTGCAGCTTTTAGGATTATTATTATTCATATTTTTTATTATTATCTTCTTTTATTTTATTAGCTTTTAGGATTTTGGTTCGCCCAAAAAAATAAAGGACATCCCCTTTAAAAAAATATCTCAGTATGAAAATTTCCCCCTTTTTTTTCTTTTATTACTCTCTCTATCAAAAAAAAGGGAGAGAGAGAGAGAACAAAAGAAAAAGAAAAAAAAAAAAAAAAGGAAAGTCAGAGTAGCAGGTGTTATGGACAAAGTTTTTCAGGCCCATGCTATCTACTTGCTTTCTTCCTTATTTGTAGATTGTCATTTTTGGGGCTGGGGTGGCCCAAGTTGTCATTGATCGAGGGAGAGTTTGTGGGCCTTGCTTCTTTCTTATCCAGCAATGAAGTGACAGTGGGCCCGTCAGAGGACAGAACGTGCCAGGTTGTGGGCCCATGAAAAGGAAGCGGGTGGCAAATGATGTGGGGACAGTCGCTTGTGCTGCTGATGGAGTTTAAAGAGACGTACACTGCATATACTATTTAGTTATTTTTTATTTTTTATTTAGAATCCCTATTTAGTTATTAAAAAATGCTAAGCAATATTACTAATGTTAAACACTATTATTAATAAAAAATAAATCTCATTTTTAAATTTTTTAATATTCATATTCTATTAATAAGTGGCGGTAAATACTATCGATATTTTATAATATTTTATAATATTGTACTTAAATTATTGCTTCACCCTCTTTGCGGCTTAAACAGTTGGTTGGACCCACTCAAAAAACTCAAACCCAGATGTCATCCCAAGCTCCTATCATGGGCCCTACCATTGGGGCGCGTCGTTTTCGGGTGAATTATGGGAATACGCTTTTGAAGAGTTGGTATTCAAATATACAATTCTCATGAGAAATATAAGCGTAATTTACACATAAAATGGTATATGTACAAATAAATGGACTTTAAAATTAATACCCGGCATAATTTACACGCCGGTTTATGTTTAAATTACGTTTACAATTACGTCTACTTATCTTTGACCTAATTTTTGGGCCCTGAAATTATTTTGGATAGATAACGATGCACGAGTATTGATTGATTTTTGTAATATATCGTAGATCTCTTTTTTAATCATTTCATTTTTCTCTGTTGCCCGTATTTAAGAGGTTCGTTGCTTCTTGTGCTCCTGTGGTTGCCGTCCATCATCACGATTAGATTTCCAGAGAGCGTTTAGTTTATAAATTTAAAATCATGATTTAAAATTATTCTTAATTTATGTGTGTTTTTTTATAAAAAATATATTATATCGAGTCACGAATCATGATCTGAATCATAACACATATCTTTGCTCTAAACACACCATAGATAACATCGATCATCTATGGACTACTGCTGGTGCACGTGCACTGATATGATTTTGAAGAAATATATTGTTGATGTTCCAAATATGTTGGTGCTGACATTTTGTTGCAAGAACTTTTTTTCCATAGCAAAAATCAATTGAAAAAAAAAACAGAGAGAGAGAAGTGCATTGTTTGTCATAGTTTTATATATGTCTATTATTTATGTCATTTTAATTAATTGAGTATTATTGTGATATTTTGTTTCTCTTTAATGATCAATGACAATTGTTTATATTATTTTTAGTGGAGTGACATAATATTAACAAAAAGAAAAGAGAGAAATGATACAAATAATATATATTTTTTATGTTCTTGAGTAGTATTTCTATTTTTTTTTTTTATAAAAAGAATTGAGAAAATTTCGGCTTGCAAGATTTTGACATTTTTGCCTTTTTGTAAGCGTTTTTTCTTCCATAAACGCTACGCCTCTTTTATGTTTCTAACTGCGTCTTCAGTACTCTTTTCTGATTGCAAATTCCCAACCAAAACCAAACATCTCAAATCTCACATGCAAATTCCAGCTTCCTTTTCCATTTTCTT